TATGCTAGGCTTTAAAGAAGGGTATGAAAATTGCACAAATGTCACCTGCAAATAGATTTGACAGAACAAAAATTAGGAAATGGTAGTGGATAAAGCAGGAAGTGTAGGTTACACCTGCTGTGGAGTTGTGTTTCCCATACAGGAATCTGGCCTTTCATCGGGGATTTCAAGTAATACAACATAATGAGAGTAATATTTGGGGAGGATTAACGGATATGGCAAGAAGACAGATTGGTTTTGGTTTTAATGTTTTTGGTTTGGTTTGATACAGTCTCCTTTATCCTAGTCTGGCCTCAAACTCACTATGTAGCTGAGGATGAATGACTAAATTTTGGTCCTCCTGCCTCTACTTCTCAGTATGTTGGGACTACAGCTATGGACACCCCAGTTTATATGGTGCTAGGTACCAAACACAGGATTCCATGCATGCTATTCAAGCACTCCACCAGCTGCAGTACATCCCCAGTAGGAATGTTCTTTATGTAACCAAACGGGTAGGTACATTTAAATTTGCCACAGGATAGAAGGGCAGAAAAGATTAGAGATAACTACAGAGGTTGGCTGAATCCATGGGATCTGGTAGGTAATTTACTGTAAAATCTGAGGTTTATGTCTTGGGTTTTGGAAGTGGTTTACTCTTACCTGAATTAGGGAATAAAAAGCAAACAGAAATACAGGATATTGTTTGAATTGCTTATCTTTCTTCAGTCCACCAGTCCTAGCCATGCTGTGGTAGCCAATGTTCAACATGTTTTACACCTAATGAAGCACCACAGTAAAGCTTTGTGCAACGATCGAGTTATCAACAGTGTTCCTTTGGCAAAGCAAGTTTCTTCACGAGGCAGCAAGAGTAAGAAGTCAGTGACGCCTCCCTCCTCCAGTGTTAGCCAAGAGCTGTCGGAGGTCTTACAGACTTTACAGGATGAATTCGGACAAATGAGTTTGTGAGTTTCTTTTTTATTATTTAGTTCCAAAAATCTCTTTTAGCTGCTTAAATTTAATAATCCTTATTTATTTTGTTCAAAAAATGTTGAGCTTAATTCTTACTAGCCAGTGTAGTAGGACTTTCACAAACAGAGCTGTTAAAGCTAAAATTTCTCCCTTTTCTAATGCTGTTAAATGTTTTGAATACCAAGGGTTACATGTAACTTCACTTTCTTGAGAGCTTAATAGGTATTTAAAGTTAGCTGAGTCTAACCAGTGAATGAGGACGAAGTGTCCTCTATGGCTTGCTTGGCTCTCTACACGTGCAGGGATGCAGAGTAGTTAACCCATTGAAATTAAGAACTCTTGCATATATTTTCTTTCCTTTTAAAAAGATTTACTTACATGTATGTATGTGTGTATGTGTGTCAGGTGTGTATGGGTGCTTGCAGAGGAAGCCAGATCCCCAGAGCTGGAGTTACAGTTGTTAGCCACCCAAAGTGGGTCCTGGGAACCAAACTTGGGTCCTCTGGAAGAGCGGCTAGCTCTCTTAACCAGTGACCCATTTCTCCAGCCTCTTTAATGTCTTTCTTGAACTTTGAAACTCAGTAATTGTTTCAAATGTTGTTTAAAATACAATGTTTTTTTAAAAAGTCATTTTTCAGAGTGGTGACCTGTGCTGAAATATAATGGGCCTAATTGTTAAACATGGGAAACTTAAAGAAGCCCTACTTGTTTTGTATAGTGATCACCAGCAGCTAGCTAAACTTATCCAGGAGTCACCAACCATGGAACTGAAAGAGAACTTGGAGTGTGAACTGGAGGCATTAGTAGGAAGGATGGAAGCAAAAGCCAGCCAAATAAGCAAAGTTCGAAAATACCACGCCCAGGTGACACAGCTTCCTTCACTTGTTTTTCATGATTAAGTTTTTCCCCTTCAAATACATTAATTGTTGACACCAAGTGTTGCCTATTTATCAGAATATTTCATGGAAGGTACTGTTTCTTGTTAAGAATCAGTGTTAAGTGGTTTAGTAAGAAAAGTTATTTTTATTTACTTGCATTTCACCTAATATACATCTACATTATACCTTAGCTTTTTGAATAAAATTTAAATGATTTTTTGTTCAAATTAAATAATCTCAAATGTCCCCCTTACTAATTTTCAAAGGAATTTAAGTCAGATAAAAATATATGGGGAAAGTAGTATTTCCTCATTAAATAATTTACTCAAACTCCGATGTTTACTCATTTATAGTCAGTAAACTCACTCAGAGTTTTTTAATCCAGAGAAACACAATTCATGTATTTGAGATGACTGACAGCTGGAATGGAGCCAGGACAGAGGCTGAGTCCAGCTTCCTGTACTGACAGTAACTGGAGATTGGGGAAGAATTGGGCAACTTTGAACTAGGCTTTGGAAGTAAAATTATCAGTGCTCCTTGCTTCTGGGTATAAACAAAAGGAAAGGAATTGTTAGGAAGGGTTGTGGACCACGAAGTAGGTGTGATTGTCATCTACTGAAAGCGAGACAATGCCAGGTGCTTTGGATTTTCTCAGAACACTGTGAAGTGGGTTGTTCCCATTATAGGTGAGGAAGCTGGGACCATATTTCTGGAAAACATGCCTGTGTTCTCAGTGGAGTTAAGTAACTTGCCCAAGGACATCCTGCTAAATGGTTACTGGCTGAGCTAGATCCACAGTGCTTTATAAGTAGTTCATGGAAGAGTCTCCTCCTCCTCCTCAGCAGTTGTTTACTGCTCATGCCTGCAAAGAGGAGCCCGGTTAGTCTTGTAGTTTAGTGAGCTCCCTGATGTTAGGCACCTGCCTCTCCCCTCCAGAAGGGATTTTTTTTTTTTTTTTTTTTTTTGGTCTTTTTGAGACAGGGTCTCCCTGTAGCCCCAGCTGTCCTGGAACACACTATGTAGACCAGGCTGGCCTTGAACTCACAGAGATCCACCTGCCTCTGCCTCCTGAGCACTGGGATTAAAGGCGTGCACCACCACGCCCAACTACAATGGATCTTTTTAATTCAATTTTTGTGTTTTTCATACAGAACATCTTAACTCTGTACCCCCTTCCCCACAGCCCCACCCCACGCACACACACACACAGGAATTCATACCCACGCACACACACACAGGAATTCATACCTTATGCCATTTATGTTAAGGCCTGTCATGTCAACTTAGTGTCCCCAGATGTCCCTCAGTGCAAGTTCATCCACTGGGGTCTAGTCAGCCTATGTAGTGTCCTTCCCTTTAAGAAGATCAGCTCTTCTTCACCAATAATTCTTTGACTAAGATTGGGGCCTGCTATCCATTTCCACAGTTCTGCATTGGGTTTTTATCTGCTTGAGTTTGCATGGGTCGTGTGCCTGCCGACACCAATGCTGAAGGTTCAAATGAGCAAGGTCCCAGGAGCTTGCAAGACTATTTCCGTCTGGTCGTGCACCTCCTCCCTGACTCTTAGGATCTTTCTGCCCCCTCTTCCACAATGGTCCCTGAGCTCTGGGTGGGTGGAGTTTAATGTAGGAGTCCTGTCCAAGGACAGGCATTCTGCACAGTCTTTATTCTCTATGTTTTAGCCATTTGTGACCTTTTGTGTCCCGGCCCTCTGCTGCATGAGGAGCTCCATTAGTGTTCAGTAGTGCTCTCTTCATCCCTTGTTCTTTTCTTTGAGCCTTAGATGTAGAGGTTGCATACTGGATGTACCACTTAGGCTTGGACAATTCAGACACTCTGTGTATGACCAGTTGTGGAACTCTGTAATAATCCAGGAGGGAATGTTAATTCAGAGAAAATTGTCTTGCAATGACCTCATTTACCTGTTTGTACATTGTTATATATTTTAAGTACTGGGTACTAAATTACTGCAGATTTTCTTATGCTGCTTAAAAATAAACCTACGATGTATTATTTGACTGTTACAGATTACGTAAAAGTTATCGGATCTGGGTATGTTGGTGCATTCAAGTTGAGGCAGGAGGATCAAGAGTTTAAGGCTACATAGCAAGACCCTGTGTCAAAAATAAAAGGTACCTGTGCTAGAAGAAAATGTTTATTAAATTCTCTTTCTCTGCCTTATTTGGATAGCTGGAGAAACAGAACATAGATAAGCAGAAGAAGGAATTAAAAGCTAACAAAAAAACTCTTGATGAAGAAGGAAACGGCAATGGCCTTTCCTCTGGAATCACAAGGACCACAAGTAAGAAGGATTTTGCCAAACTGAGGCCTGGAGAAAAAAGCAGGAAAAATCTTCAGTTATTGAAGGACATGCAAACCATACAGAATTCATTACAGAACAGTAATCCCTGTTGGGATTACTGACTGGTAACAGATGATGATAATGTGTACCTTACCAGATGATGACAGTATACTTCCTAGGTCTCATGCTTGCTTATGCTGGAAGCAGGTGTGCAGGGAGGGGCCCAAGCTTCAGTACATAATTTCTTTGTGTTACAGAGCACAACCAAATGTGAAGCCATTTAAATGGAAACCAAGGGGTTTTACAGCCTGAGAAGCTGCACCCTTTCTTTGAATTTGCTGTATGATACATTGCACTTTGTAAGCAAATTACCCATTTTTTTTAAATTTGTCGGTGTTTTTTAAAGTAGATCTTTGTAGATGTAAATTGGGCTTAATTTTCAGAATATGAAGCTGTCTGCATAGACAACACTAAAGTCTCATTTTTAAATCTTCCATGGCATTAAGTGTCCACTTTCACTTCTCCATGTGATCATTAAATGTACTATTTCAACTACTGATGGAAGCTTTCTGTATTTAAATATTTATTTAAGGACTTTGTTTTGATATTTCAGACATTGATCAGTATTAAATATACTTATTGCTTTTTAATCCACCTTTTGAATGCATAAAAATTTAATTCAATTACCCATGAAAAACAACAGCATCTTTAAAAGTATAAACAGCTGTTAATGAAATAAATGAGATTTTTGGAAATAATTAGGAGAGAAGGGGGATACTGTGAAGTGTACACATCTGCAGTCTTTAGCACCTAATTGTAATCATGTTATTCAGTTAAGGCACTGGTTTTTAATCTTGAATTTTAGCAAGCCCCTTGAATATTGCTTTTTTTAGTATACAGTGTAACTGCAATATGTGAACTGTAAACAACTGTCATTATGTCAGTGTATATTATAATTTTGAATAGATTGACATGTTAACTTTATACATTTGGTACAGGAGTCAATAAAGCAATTTTTAACTTTTCCTTAATAGCCTGTTAACAAAGGCTTTATTTGTGGTACACTCTCAAAAATGCATTTTGAACAGTACCTTGATTATGAGAACCTGCTCCGTTAGACTGCTGTTCTTGTGCCTACACAGAGAGTAAGCAAGCCGCCAAGATCAGTTACTTTATGGAAGACACTCTAAATAGGCTGTGGGCATGCTAGCCACATACTCAAGAAGCTGAGTTAGCGGCTTACTAATTACATGTAAACACCATGAAGTGTTCATGCTGCTTAGGCCCTATGCTTGTCCATGTCTTACTGAATGTAGCGTTCTTAAATTAGTGTCCTTATATAATTTTTGAGATATTTGTGAATCTCCAAAAAACTGTGTGTAAACTTTTGTGTGTGCAGTTTTCTGACAAGCAGGTTTGTAGGGTCATTGAGCTTGGGAACAGTGAGTCCACAGACCCCAGGAAAGTGAGAAACTGCTCTGGTGACATGGTATAAATATTTACATCTCGACCACCATTTCAGCTACCAAATTTCTGTTCACTCCTTGTTTGAGTTTCAGGACACTGAACTGTGTCACTGTCATCTGAATGGTAATGGCCTCAGGTCCTAATGAGAATAACTGAAAGATGCTAAAGCCTACCCTCCAACTAGCTTCAAAACCGTAGGACTTCTAAGATTTGACACTCAGATGAGAACTGAGAATAAATACTGCTTCAGTTTTCTTGTCCATTCAGTAACAGCAGAGCTTCCTTGTCATGCACTTCCCATACATAACAGTCTTCTATGTGAAAGATCAGCATGGATCCCAAGTCGACTAGGAAAGGTATGTTTTCACCCTGGTGGTAAGCATGTGAATAACCCTAGTACTGTGCTAGGAATGAAATTGTATTCCCCATGTACACAGTGCTGTGGGGCGCACATGGCAGACACAGGAGTGATAAATAGCCCTATCTTTCTGGAGAAGAGAAGGTACCTGAACCTGCAGAGAATGAGTCCTAAGGACATGAAGAAGCAGCAGAGTTGTGCATAGCACAGGTGGTACTTGAGCATGGGGAAAGCAGGTTAGAATAGAATAGCAGAAAGGCCCAGGAGCTCTCCGCCTGGGAACAGTGCTGACTACCCTAAGCTGTGTGTGCTTGACCATAGGAGTGTCCTGCACAGCCAGTATGATAAACATAGTAATACATGCTACCATCACTTAAATACTAACAGCTTGTATAGATAGCGCTTTCTTCTACACATCAACTAGTGGCTTATCAGAAGTATTTTAAGTACATACCGTCAACTTGGAGATGTCTCGGAGGTGATGGAAGCCATTTGAAGGTTCTAGACATGACAGTTCCACTTAGATTTCTCAGGACTTTGAGTGGAATTTTGAAGTGGGTATGAGTTCAGCTTTAAATTCTTGATCTCGTCAACATTCCTCTTTGTCATACCAAGATGATTTAAGTGAGGAAAACTGGATAGGAGAGTGGAGTTGTGAGATATGTGGACTAGGACTCTTCAGTACTTGTATTAGTACACAAACACCCAGCTCAAAAATTTCTTACAACAAATTTCATACTGACCAAATCATTTAGTGCCAATTTTGTTAGTACTGGATGTACTGGGACTGGGCATATAATTCGGTGGTAGAGTGCCTAGCAAGTATGAGACCCTAGGTTCAGTGTCTAGATGTGCAAAGGGGGAGGGGGATACATATGTACATATTTATATAGATAAACATATATGTGATGTACAAATAGAAATTGTATTCCTCATTCCAGCTCAAAGAACAGGACAAAAATTAATGATTGAAAAAAGTACTATATTTTTAGTTTGGTAAGTGTTGAGTACAAATGGACACAAACTTAAACATTTCTATTTGGAGCAGGTATTCCAAAAAAACTTCCAGGTAACATTTTGGGAATAGAGTGGGTGGACACTTAAAGTAAACAACTGTGGGTAAGGATAAAGTCTAAGATCAGTTGACATTTAATTAAAAGACAAGTGATCAGCTCCTCTGTTACAGTACATTACATATGGCTCTTTTAGAGTAAAATAGACAACAGGAGTCCAGCGTTCACACCAGCACCCCACTTTCAGATAAACAGAAGCAAGGCTTTGCTTGCTGGCATTGAGATTGTAGCTTCTCTGTACATGCAGTTTATTCTTTGGTAGACTGAATCCTTCAGTGAAGTACAGAATTTGCTAAGGGAAAAATGTGTCAAAGCAAAGTTTGAACATACAGTACTTATGAACTGCTTATCCAGAAAAATCAATCTCAAATACTGTCTTAAAACTTCCCAATCAGCACTCCAATAAAGTGTATAACGAGTTTTTTAAATGTCTTTCACGATGTTTCTAGTCAGTGGTAAATGAAAATTAAGGGGTATGGAATGTTTTTTGAACTTATGGATGATGGTTACCACTTTGTCCCTTTGTCCCCTCAAGCACATCTATAAGGCATCATTTCAAAACCGTTGAAATTACCCTAGTTTTATCGTCAGCAACAATTTTTCTATTCCATAATATCCCCAAGACTTTGTGTTTTACTATATTAAGAATGGAGAATGAGAAGTGACCAAGATAAATCAATTACTGGCAAAAGGAAAATTTGGAGAAAGGGGTAAAGTGGTTTGATCTGTCATATATACATCAAGGCCCAGTATATATGATTTCCAAGAATTTCAGTGTTGGGAGAAAATTCAGAGCAAGGTGTCTTACCAGAAGCTAAAGTTTAAGACAACGTTTTAAAATTAGACACTTGTTCCCACCATGGATATAGGATTGAAGCATTTTAATGTTCTTTGAGTGTCTTAAGATTAGTGTTATAATCTGTAATTACAAATGAAATGATTTCCTTTCAGTCACCTGCCACTGCCATATTTCTAAACTCATCTAAGACTTGAAATAAATAATCTGAACTTTTCTCCAATAAATGGGTTTAAGATGAGGAAGGCTTTCTACCCATGAGACTGCCGCTGTAATGACAAGTTCATGACGGTGACACCCCCAACCCAACTGACGGTCCTTTCATACAACAGTTTGGACAGGAGTGACACACTGTGCTGGAGAACTGGCTCTCTCCGAAGATGAGGTTGATCGGTTAGAAATTTCTCTCTGCAGTTCCTCTACTTTTTTCTGAAGCTCTGCCCTTTTAGCAAGAAGTTCTTTATATCTGCTGTGAATAGGTTCCTACGAGAGCAAAACACAAAAATTACACGCTGGGAATCCTAGCCAAACTTAAAAGGTCTGCTCATTCTATAAATGTTGCAATCTGTTTAGCACTTGAGAGCAATCCTGCCCTTTCAGCTCATCAGAGAGAGACGAATTCAGGTTCTGTTTAACCAGTGCTCTAGCTTAGGGGTCCTGAAAGGTGGTACTTGTACCCAAGCAAAAGCCAGTCCTCAAAAAAAAAAAAAAAAAAACCATAAAAAACAGCAGCATTTACTTACATTTTGTTTTGGGTTTTTTGGTCCTGAATCATTTTTAGTAAATCTTTGCTTGAAATATTCAATATGGCCCAGTGTTTTAGGTTTTGACTTTCAAGACAAATATGCAGCTGGGATAATACCCTGTCTTAACGTAATGCTTTTTGATTTTCTGTGGCTTTAGAAGGAAGATCTAGCAGAGTTGTGCAAATGAAAACTCAGCCCACTGTATGTGGTACACTTGTACCTGTGGTTTCATCCGTGGGTTCCACCTTATGTAATATCCCACCCAGAGCTCTAGGTGGCGCATGCTGGCTACTGGATAAAGGACATGATTGGAGTAACTCCCATAGAGAGGATTAGTGAAGTCTTCCAGCTGGCTGTTTATGTAAGACCACAGTGACACAGTCCTCCTAGGAAGAGTCTGCAAGAGGGAAAACAGTGTAAGGATTTGTATATGTCACCTTTTTAAACTTTAGATGAAGTATGTGTAGGTGTTGGATGAGCATTAAAATCAACAAAAGAGGGAATGAACTCGGAGTCTTCACTGTCTGCAATTATTCAGAATTAAACATAGTTGCCATGTGACCTACTAGTTCTCTTAACAGACGTGAAAAATTGTGCAAACAAAAACTCCCAAGGCTGGCAAAATGGCTCAGTGGTTGAGAGCACCTGCTGCTGCCAGAGAACCCAAGTTTGGTTCCCAGTTCGTGTTATGAGGCAGCTCCCAACCACCCCTAACTCCAGCACCAGGGAATCCAATGTCCTGTCTGGCCTCCACTGGCACATGTATACACACACAAACACACACCCAAAGGACCACCAACTAAATGCTATGTAAATATCTACACACCATGGAACATTAAGAATAGTGCATGCTAAAATGTAAGTGAGCCTTGAAAAGACAGTGAAAGGAGCCAGACACAGGTCACATACTAAATGACTGCACTTCAATGCAATGTACAAAGGATTCCTGTTAGGAAGAGAAAGGTGTGGGGCTCTTGGCTGTCAATATGATAAGCTCTCTAAATCATCATATTCCCACGATTCTGTGCACGCTATAAATTTTACATGCTGTAAAACGTTCATTTATTTAATCATTTTTTAAAAAATCAAGGTGCAATACTGTTTCTCCAAAGATTGAATTCCGTCCCATAAAATGCTGAATGATTACCCATACAGAACAGAAATAGTGCATTTTAAAAGAGTACTTCCAAGATGCAAGCACTTCATTAACGTTGGTATAGTAGGATTTTTTTTTTTAAACAACCTAAGGATATTTTACGGAAGGATGAATGAACTTGCGAATTTGCTCACAGTTGAATGTGACACATTAACATCTGAATCCAGTAGCTGATGTCCACTGTAAGTACCATAACAAAGTTTTCAGAATGTAAGTTGATGTACCAAGAAGTGCCAAGCACTTAACTCTGGGAAAGAGTGAGTGGTAATGAAAACGTTTATTTTTTTGTAGAGGGGATTGAACCCAGCACTTTGCTTCCCTTTTTCTATTTTTATGTTGAGACAGGGCCTTACTGTGTTAACCAGGCTAGGTAAGTTTGGTACTGTTCTACTCCGGCCTCTGGAGTACCTGGGATTATAGGTGTGATCTACCTTTCTATACGGTATTGTGTTCTTCAGTATATGAGTGTAGATTTGGGCTGTCCGTTCATTTAATACATGTTTTCGAAGGATTTCCATCCTACATGGAGTAGTGCAAACAATGGTGTGTCTGAGATCTATGTTCATTTCTCTCTAGCAGACACTGCAAGCCATGTATGAACTCAGCTGACATGCAGTCTTCAGCCTTGTATGACCAACCAGGTTCATCTACATGGGTAGAAGTAAGCATAGTACATCTTAAAACATAAGACTAAGTAAATTAAAAGTACACCCCCCCCCAGAAAAATGGCCGTTGAGCTCTTGAGCACATTCTTATAGGAAGGGGGGGGTGGCTCATACGTCACCTCTCTTCCTCGTTGCTGTTCGCTGTTACAGAGGAATGTCCCAAATAAACAGCTGTATAAGTGATCCAGGACAGTGATGAGGAAATACTCATTGAATTCGAATGCGGTAGGGAACTGCAAATTGAGTACCACAAACACTTGAATTGAGACACTGAGTATATTTAGCCCTGTTACTAGTCCTTTGTGACAGTAAAGTCTAACGAGGTTTAAAAGTACACACCTAAGCCACTGTGGCATTGCTTGCTTGGTTCCTGCTTCAGAAACCCTTTATTGCTTTCCTAGCTAATTTCTACCAGTCTTTTTTCATGCTTGTATTTGAATGGACTGCCCATGCTGTTTTATGTCCATTGTAACTGTTTTCAACATGTGTCACTTCTCTCAAAATTGAAAGTCTCAAGTGTGCTCAGAAAATGTCAGTAGGACATACATAACCAAGAGTACATATTCTACACGGATGTGCAGATAGCTTAGAAGTCAACCTACTTATCTGGTTAAGAAATATCCCATATCCAAATCATCACAGTCTCTTCTAATTCACAACTGGTATTACTGGTCCAACACAAAATATCCCTCATACCCAAGCCAAGAACTCTGGGTCTTCTAACTTTATGTAACATAATTATGGTGGTCCAATAAAAGTAATTAAATTACAGGATCCCCCCCCCCAAAAAAAAGGTTTTTAAATGGTTAGTTTCATCTATCAGTATTTCAAAACTATTCAGAATCTTATGTTTATGAAGCTAGGCAATTACAGGGTCTTGAAATAGAATTCCATGAGGATTTAGATTGCTGACTGGAAAACACTGTTTTCAAGTGTTTGTGTTTTAGAAAGGCCCATAATTCCCAAGTATAAAGTACACATAGCAACACAGATGAAACATTTCTTGAAGTCTCCTGGCAGAGAAACGGGGTACTTTCTCTGAAAAAGGCAATTACTAGGCACCTCGTATTTCTAGCTATGAAGCCAGGAACCTAGCCTAAGTCAGTAAGTCAAGTTCCCACTGCCAGGGCTCATCACACAAGGCCACAATTCCCACTGCCAGGGCTCATCACACAAGGCCTTAACTACCCCAATCTAGATGCAGTCTGGGAGCCAGCCTGTGAGCAGTTTCCATGCTTTTGGTAACCCAGTTCCACACTGAGAAGACAGCCTAATTGGTGCACATTTCCTCACAATGTAACTGAAATAGCAGAGCATTACTAAAATAGGAATTTTAGTAATGCTGCTCTTGATTTTATGGTCCTAAACAGAGAAGCCTTTTTCCTTTACGTGTTTAAAGTACGAAGGAAGAGCCTTTCAACAACTGCTTCCTGGTCAGGAGCAAGGCAATGGCCCAGGGTGGGGAGAGAGCATGGCTAGTTCCTAACTGGTGCCTGACAAATGGGCTGTGTTAGTGGCTACACTGGTACTGGTACACTGACTACTACCAAACAACTACATGCTTGTGTTCACAAAGGAAAACAAAAAGCCACCTATTTAAAGATAACTACAATTTTAACTAACATTTAGTAATTAAGACTAATCGTTTCAAGAAACAGCATGCAGAAATAGTTGATGTACCCTTTAGCAGATTGGTAAATATGATTTTTTCTTTTTAAACTCAACAAACCAGAACTAATAATAGTGACACCTTCCTCTCTTCAGTGTATCCATCTCAGAAAGCATACTTTGCCTGTAGTTGGGAAAAAATAGGTGTGGATTTGATCAAGACACATATGCATGCATGTATGAATTGTTTTTTAAGTCATACTTTGCTATCAACAATGCCAGTTTAAAACAGCTTTCCTATTCTCTGATGACATCTCATTTTCTCAGTAAAGTTAAAAGTAATATGGTAATGGTCAAAAATGACTCCTGAAAGACAGGTAGGGTTTCTGTACCTGGTCTTAACTGCTTCAAAAAGACTGCCATAAAAGAAATTCAACCACTCTATAACATTCTTTATGTAAATTAGGTTCTCCTTTCTCCCAGTACTCCAAAGGTATCATTTATGAAAGAAACTCAATTGTATACTTATTTTCATTATATGTGAAAAATTCCAGATTCACACTAAAGTCCTATCTCTGGTCACTTTAACCACCTTGCCAGTTCCAAAGTAATTCAAGGTAAAATAAATGCTATTAGGGGAGGGGAGGGGACTATTAAGCGTATGATTGGAATATTTCTTTCACCCGAGGATTCCGATTTTCTTTTAGTGAAATATTACCGCCTTTTAACTTATGATTCCAAAGCCAAGCAGAGCCAACAACTGTTCTAGTTGCTATTCAGATGAAAACATAATTAAAAATGATTCAGACTCTTGATTTGAGGGCTAATGCTTTGAATAATTAACATACCAATAAACTGTTTTCAATTTTAAGGTGTGAGGATGGTTTTCTTGATTTAGAATTAAGTCACAGTAAAAAAAATTATCCCCATCCCAAACAGCACCTCACCACCCCATCTCCCAGGTTAATACCTGGTGACTCTGAAGGGCTGGGATGTTGACCTCTGAGGTAGGTGTGGAGTCGGTGGGAATAGGATCTCTTTAGGATAGGAAAAGAGTTGCGTTGAATCCCACCAATCCTGATATCTGAGCCAAAAAGTCCGACCATCTTCATCCCCGAGTTATCTCACCAACATTATGTTCCCAGGGCTAAGTTTAACCCTACTCCTTAAAAAACAATTTTCAGACACTGACTCTTTGCTTCCTTATAAGAAAATAAACCATGTGTTTTTCAGGATTCTCTAGTATCCTAAAAGATTACTATTTACATTTGTTCATTAAAAAGTTGTTAGGTGTAAAAAAGTTCTCTATATGACTAAAAACAGTGTTATCTGCCTTGCTAAAATCTCTATCCAAGCACGTTTTTTTTTTTCCTTAAAATACCTAAGATTTTATTTTGATGGAATTTACCTAGCTTATTTATTCCAAATGAACAACTGTTATTTACCAGTATTTGTTCAAAACAAGGGCGGAAACTTCTGCATTTATCAGTGCCCAGGCTGAGACACTGCTAGAACCAATTGGAAAGTGCTCACTATTATCCCCAAGTAATAACTTTAATTCACAATCTGAAAATAACAGTAGCTCATATCACTGGGAATTCTGCCCAACAAGAAACAGAAGCTAATCAGTGACTGAATCCTCCCACTTAATGGAGATGTGAGAAGGGACCCCAGGTGAATTACCTGTCTTGTCATTTGCCACACACAGTCAATAAACTGAAGGAAAACAGGCGATCTGTCTGCATCTGCATGGTTCTTATCTCCATGACCAACCCTCTAAACAAAGAATGAAATGTTAGCATACAGGATTTTAATAGAATTTTACTTTCCAACAAAAGCATTATTTTGTCACTTTTTAAATATTTTTATTTTTTTATGTGTACGCGTGTATTGACCATGTGTAGGCAAGTGCACCCGTGTTGTGCAATGCCCGCAGACAGAAGAGGCTTTTGGATCCCCTGGAACTGGAGTTAGGGACGGGTTGTTAACTGCCATGTGGGTGCTGGGATTCGAACCCAGGTCTTCTGTAAGAACCGTCAGCGTTCTTAACCACTCAGCCATCTCTCCAGCCCTATTTTTAAATTCTTCAGAAATCACTTTAAAAAGCATTGCAAGGGAAGTAGCAATCACAGTTCCAGAAAGCAAGGAGAAATGTAACATTGTACAGAAGAAGTGTGCTGCCAACATCAATACTTGATAAACGAGGAGGAGGAGTCAGACCTCGAAGCCCAGATCTTTATCCTGGACACTGAACTTCCCCCTGATCATTAAGATGTTATTCCTTCCTGCTGGCCAGTGAACAAAAGCAGCACTGCAGTGCCAACCTGCTTTTGTAGCTCGTAAGTCCTCTGAGAGCCTTCTGCCCACACAAAATCCCCAAACAGATTCACTCAAAGTATGATCCAAGACTTTTGGGACAGGCTTTGATGTCCAGATTATTGTCATCATCCTAAGACATTAGTTGCCTTTCCTGTGTGTTGGCTTCTTTCCTGATTAAGTGGCAGATGCTGTCAGTTGTCTGCCAAGGCAGTGGTGACGAATGCAGTACTAGAATGCATCTGCCCTGTCACACACTACGACAGAACTCAGTATTTCCTAAGACAACTATCTGGTGAAGCAGAAAACAGTGTCACTAATTTTTAATTCATGTGACAAAACGGAAAGGCGTCCGTGTGATTGCTGTTATCCTGAGCAGCAGCACACTGTCAGGAAGCAGGGAACTAACATTTCTTCATCGAACATCAAGTGTTCTTCAAAGAATGGTAACTGATACACTAACTACAGTTGGTAAGACTCAAATGCGGCCATTTTCAAAATGTAAATGTGTCACTTTAAGGAAAACCATTAACAGTATTTGTTGCTAATTATATAATTCAAGCATTTGCTTGGTTAGATTTTTAGTGATTTCACCTACCCACAATTCTAATAGAGTCACTAACATATGTAGCTTTAGGACACTGCAGAGTAACTTGAAGATCTGTAGAATTCTGTAAGCTAGTGTTTTCCTATAATCAATTCATGATTTTACAAAATCAGGCATGGGCAGAACGTGCAAGAGACCAAAAGGATTTAGTGAGACAAAGGACAGAAACTCATTTCTTTCTGGAGTCCTAAGAAAGCAGCACTTTTTCAGTGTTGGTGCAGAGTTCAGGACAGCCACAATTTCCTGAAAATTCTGTTAGGAACCTTGTTTTCCACCTATGTAAGGTTTTCCTCATGTTCCTCGGCAGACTGACATGGCACTGGCCACTTGAGCACACCTTGACTGTCCTTTAATTGTAGGAAAGTGGGGGAAGGGGGGCTTTGTATGAAATAATTAGAAAAATGGTAACCAGGGCCAACAATTTAGGAATTCAGTTTTGAAGATTGTAAATGTTTATGGTTTTAAATGTATGCGTTTCTTTTAAAGTGTTTTGTGATAAATACATCGTATAGAAAGGAGACGAATGTGAGCCACTGGGATGTTTCCTCACAAACCTAATTTTGTTGACAGATGTCAAATTTTGAAAATGTATAAGCACTGCTAGTACGGCTTTCTATGTACACTGAAGGTTAACACTAAAGACAGCATCTACGCAAGTGTCTTTTGGAAACTAATCCACTTGCCCAGAAACCAAATTTTCAATGCCTTCTGGACTGCTAATGCTCTGGCTGCCCTCTCCACGCTGCCCTCTCCCTCCGCTCAACTTTTGCCGAGGTCACTGCTCACCCAATTTATCTTTTCTGGGAAGATAATCCCTATGTTCAAGTCCATGAATGCAAGTAACATGTAAGGAGACTGAGGCACTCAAAGTTACTACTCCTGTTTCCTCATTCCAAATAGTGTTAAACAGAAGCATCTGAAAGCCACTTAACATCTGATTTAAAACTCCATGAGTCTAAAATTATTATTTAAAGAAGACACAACCCCATTCCTCTAAAGAACCTAGATTAGCTCTGAGTACCACAATGGAGAACGCCACAAGCAACACAGGACAATTGGATGGTGAGAGATCAAAGATCTTCAGCCTGAAAACTAAAGATTATAGGTGGCAGGTAATAGGAAGCAAGTCTCATTTCACTATTACAAAGAATTTCTAGCAGTCTAGGTGAAACTGATAGCTTCAGGAAGGGTTGTTCAGTTTGTTTCTGGACATGTTAATGAATCTGAATAGTCATTTGGTAGTTATACCTTTGTGGGGCTTTTTGGTACATACTTTGGATTTATGGATAAACAGGCTTTTTAGTCTAACTAACAATGAATAAATAGGTTTTTCAAAACCCAATTTTGAAATTTAATATTAAAAAACAATGCCAGCCCTGGTGGTGCAGGCCTGTAATCCCAGCTATTCAAGAGGATGAGGCAAGAGGATCGCAAGTTCAAGGTCTGCCTGGGCTTGGAAACTTGGCAAGACAGACCCTGTCTGAAAACAAAAATTAAGTGAAAGGGCGGGCTGTAGCTCAGTGGCAGCGCACAAAGCACTGTGCTCAGTAACCAGTATTATTTTTAAAGGCCTTGAACAATAATCACTCTAAAATTTTGTCATTTTTACCAGACTATACCTGTATTTATAGAAAGCATACACAGAAAACTATTTTAGTCCAAACTTTGGTTAAATTTTAGGGGTTTTTAAAGATGTTAATTATGTGATGTGTGTTTATGAGTGCAGGTCCCCACAGAGGCCAGAAGAGAGTGTTGGCTCCCTTGGAGCTGGAGTTCTAGGCAATTGTGGGCTACTCGACTTGAGTGCTGGGAAGTGGACTCAGGTCTCAGAGCACTGAGTGCTCTTACCCACTGAACCATCTCTCCAGCTCCCAACTTTTTAATTTTTACTCTAGCTTTTCAGTTCCAATCGGATTATTTTCGATCCTGATTTGTGAGCAATACAGCTTTGTATAACTACATTAGTAAATGGCCATTTTCTTCATCATGTTAAGTTCAAAGGAAGCTAGTGGTGCTTTATAATTCCTTAACTATATGGAATAGTAATAGTCAATCAAGACTGTCATGTGCGGGCTGCAGAGATGGCTCAGCAGTTAAGATCCGAGTTCAGTTCTTAGAGCCCACGTGGCGGCGAACAACCATCCATCCCTAACTCCAGTTCCAAGGGAACCTGACACCCTCTTCTCACCTCCACAGGCATTGCATGTACATGGTACACTTACATACATACATGCAAAACACTCATACAGAAATGTTCTCATGAGTTTTTCCTGTCAGATAAATGATCTGTTTTGTATCATTTTCACATCTTGCAGGAGGCACCTGAGACATAAAAGTGAAGTTATCTGAGGCTGGAGAGATGGCTTGGTTGGTAAAGTGCTTGCCGCACAAGGATGAAGACCCAAGCTTGATTCCCAGCACTTAGGTAAAAGCTGGTCAAAGCTGTGCATACCTGTAATCCTGGTATAGGGGAGTTTGGAATAGGACAAGTCACTGAGCTCCAGGGACCCAATCTCAAAAGAAAGGTAGAAAGTAACTGAAGAGGCCAGGCATGTGTGCATGCATACACACACGCGCGCGCGCGCGCGCACACACACACACACACACACACACACACACACACACACACACGGAGTACAATGAGGGGTCTTTACTCACTAGTTGGAACCGATGTCCAAAGCTTAGCCACTCTTTCTCCACAAGCACTTCAAATCCTCCTATAGTTCGGTAATACCCATCCAACATGAGCATGGCGAGGGAAGTGAGCTGAGCTGTGCGATCCCAGCCGTCACTGCAGTGCACCACCACAGAGGTCTTGCCGGACTCTACCTTGTCAGCAATCCTAAGAGCCCCTGCAAGAATGAGCTGGAAAATAAGAGTTGTTTTAATGAAAGTTTTGAAAAATTAAACACATCAAAATATACTAATACAGTTTTTCTAGAGATGACAGTCTCAACATGCAAAGAAACAAGTACCTTCTTACAGAGGATTTTTGTTAATGATGGAAAGTGTAATAACTTCATTTTAAAACAGAAAAAAATACACAGACTCATCAATTTGCACAATTAAATCTCCAAAGGAAAGGTACCTTTAGGCTCTAAACAAATCAACAGAAGTTTCTTAGAAGAATTAAGTTCTAAAGATAGTTCTTCTAAGAATCATCAAATATTCCAATGTCATCTACTTAAAATGAAAAAGTAGGGGCTGGAGAGATGGCTCAGTGGTTAAGAACACTGTTCTTCCAAAGACCCGGGTTCGAATCCCAGCACCCACATGGGAGCTAACAACTGTCCGTAACTCCAGTTCCAGGGGATCCAACAGTCTCTCCTGTCCTCCATGGGCATTGCACAACACGGGTGCACTTACCTACACACAGATATAACACTCATACACATAAAATAATAAATATTTTTTAAAATAAAATGAAAAAGTAACACCAGCTGAAGCCTTAACTTTCTATGTAAAATAATACGATCAAATTACAAGTGCCTGGGAGCAATTGGAACTGGATGACTTTTAAAATGGTCTATGGCATTATTTGATTAAAGACTTGTAAGTAGTATGGCAAACAGGAAAAGCATAGATCTTACAGTAAGCCTCACTACACTGCAGTGAACTACACATGAAAATCTGATCGCATCACTAGGCCAAAGTAAGTCTGGTCCCTAAAATAACTTCCCCTTGGGGAAATACGCAGAAACCCTTTGCAAGGCAGCTGTTTTCAGAAGTCTTCGGTGAAATCTAAACAGCAGTAGATGCGATTCCCCAAAAATGGAAACGAAGAACAGAACAGTTTCAGACACTGAGCAGAATGAAAGAACACAGACTGCTAAACTCAGAGCGCACAGGAGCACCTCCATTTGACCCTCCCCGTAGAACTCTCAGGAAGGGGACAACAGGATTTCATCAGTCATCAGTGAATAGCAACAACAGAAGGGTATGCTCTCCAACGCCTCCAATTCACTACTCTGAGTAAGTCTCACCATAATTTCAATACATATTCTGACTTACGAACCACAAAATCCAGAGGCTTTGTGAGGACTGACCTGACTCAAAGTTACCTAGTTAGTCATTCAGAAAATACTGTAATCCCTTACTATGTGACAGGCACTGCTCTGGATACTAGACATAAAGTTGTAGAACAAACTGCTTAACCAAGCTTACATTCTACTTGGAGGAGCCTAAACTAGACATAAACAAATGTAGGGCACAGCAGATGTCAGTGAGCACAGCAGCTCCGCAACAGGATACACAAAGTACATGTAGAACTGCTTTTGCATAAAGTGATTGGAAGTGGGCTTTCTGAGGTGATATTTGAGCAGGGATCTGAAGAATGGGTATGTGTTGCAGGTGTAAGGGTCGGTGGGAAAGAAAGTTCAGCCACATTTATATAGGTCACTAGGGAAGCATTTCTGTTACAGCTAGTCTTGTGGAGAGAATGTTATAAACAACTAATGAAATCTCAGAAGCAGATACTGAATTTGATATTTCCAAATTAAGTCCAATGTTTGATATTTGCACCATAAATTTAAGGAGATTGGGTCACATAAACACGACCTCTAACTCAGTAGTTGGCTATATTCAAGCCTCTAAGCATCTTAAAAACAACAATAATGTGTAATTATCAATGTTATTATTCATGTGGCTTTTAATTCTGTCTGACTTTAGAGATTTCAGGTGAGTATAAGTCTGAAACTTGTTAACATCAAATATGATAATGCTCATGACGTCATAATACTAATAACATGTATTAGTATTACATAAGTATATTTTATGCTTATGGTTACATACCTATATTTTAGTAATTTATAGTGCTGATTGACATTCAAAACATATCTGGTACTTCAAACATAAAATTAACACATTAAGTAAAAGGTGTTCACATGGTACTTTCCAAGTGATTTTAAACCTCAAATGATTTCTTTCAACTACTCCACTTCTTCCAGAATGGTTTTAACTTCCTAAGTTGTGCAATAAGTATTTTGTGGGTACTATTCACACAGATAGTGCCACCTACCTCAGTCTGGGTCTCCTGAAACTGCCTTACAAATAATAAAAATGATGATGATGATAAGAGCCAGGTATCACATCCCATGCCTATAATTCTAAATTTTAAGAGGCTGAAACAGAGGACTGTCATGACTGAGGCTAGTCTGGGCTTCAGAGTAAGACTGTAATCTCCAACAAACAAACAAATGGAAAACAGTATTAAATGGGAGGGGCAGGGTTGGACAGTTTCCAGAAAATGGAAATAGATACAGCCTGATGTTATCAGAAGTGAAGTATGAACTATGATCTGAAGCATGAACAGAATTCAGACGGACTGGGAAATGCACAAAAAAGGACACTGATTTGGTCAAACTCCAAAGTGTACACTGAGCTGTAGAAATCATAGTCACTTTGTACTACTCCAATTATAAGAGCCAGTGTAGACAAAGGGGTAGAGTCTTTACACGAGAAAGAGTAGCACATACACACCTTGATGTGCTCCAGCCAGTGCGTAGATTCCAGGTTAGACAACCAGTGAGTCTCCTCGATATTGGGGTACACGATCTCCTTCAGCTTTCTCAATGACTCTCTCATGACGTGGATATTGTGGATGTCCAGAAACACTAGCTCTGCATTTTGATAGGCGTCTTCACTCTCATAACCTCCTCCCTTCGCCTGGAAAAGGGCACATGTCACAGCAGATCATGTATGGACATACAGCCATCTTTTTGGACATCTATTACAAAGTTCCATAAAGTATCTAAAAAGCATGAAAGAAGATACATATTACTGGTGACAAGGAAAACAGCACAGGAAAATGGGATAGCCCAGGAACTTTGAGGAACCACACAACACTGCCTTCTATTATTATTTCTACAACAGGAATAAGTATTTACCCCCGAATGACCATTATATTAAATATGAAACATTAATGTTTTTTAAAGAACTAAACCTTCTCTGCACACCTCTCAAACTAATTTTAATCTAATTTCTTACAAAATACTTCCCTTCAAACTTACTGAAATTATCAGACCATCAAAGCCTCATGCAAGGACCCAGGCTGCTTCACCCATGCTTAGTCACCTTCCTCCCTCTTCACTGTTAACTATTAATATTTGAAAAATTCTTCATTGCAATGACTAAGTCATTCACTGTTCTGCTGCTGTGACAAAATACCTGAGGAAAAAACATGAAGCCAGATCTGACTCATGCAGTGTCACAGGTCTCAGCCCATGCCTGGCAGGGCCCGTGTTTCTAGAGTGTGGAAATATTTTTAGTAAAGATTTCTGTACGAAGATTACGGCAGCTGGATGTTTTCCCAAAAAGGGGAGGAAAGCTGGAAAACCTAAGCAAGCTACGAAAGTCTACGTAAAGTATGTAAGGTATGGAAAATATCAGACTTAAACATGATGTATATGATCCTAACACCTCTAAGGTCAAAGTTCAATGGAGTGTTGTCAACCTCCGCTAAAATCAATGGACTTACTGATCTGCTCTTGGTAACAATACCAAGTAGTAGCTTAAAGAACAAAAATGCATGTCTAAGCAAGGTTTATTTTATTTGGTTCTTGTTCAAGCTTTATCTAAATATTTGTTAAAAGTATCAGACTGGTGTAAACTTTCTAAATGTTTGGAGACCTATACTATGCAGATAGATTTTAAAGTTAACATTCATTTTGCTCCCTGCTGTCCAAGGTCAACTAGGTCCCAGGGGACCCTGAGGCATCTCTCAAAATGTCTTCCAATTATGGTGAGTCATCTATCCTCTTGATAAGAGACCCCCACCGCCTCCCCACCAGGTGGACTCTAACCAGTGTGCGGTCTACAAAGGAGATTCAGCACAGAGGGACGTTTCTTCCACACTTCCAGGTGAAGCCAGAGTCAAACAAGGTCTTTGGACTCAAAATCACAGATGGAAAAACTGGTAAGGTTAAAGCCAGAGGTTCCTCCCAAGCCCAAGTGACCTCTATGGACCACGTCCTCTACGGATCTTGACAATAAAAGAGTCAATGGTTAATTTTGGCCATGTGCATGGCCAACAGGAAAGCATGACCAAAGCCAAAATGACTCGTGTTTCTTCAGCAGTCCAAGGGATTGCGCTCCCCAGACATTATATTTAAATCCATGTATGTTAGACAGCTATGTCTCACTAATGACTAAATGATGGCTACAGTTCTCTCTCCCTCTACAGAAGCCATCTGGGAGGGCCTCACACTGTCATTCAAGCCACCCCAATAGCTATCAAAGTGCCTAAAAGCAGACCCTGGGTTCATCCAGCCTTGGAGGTCAAAGGAAAAATGAGGAGCCCAGATGGAAGCTCTTATAAGCCCATGCCAAGATTCTGATAGACTTTGATGTGAATATCTTAAAAACATTCTCATTCTGGCTTCTCCTGATTGTCTGCCCCAGGCTTGTCTTCTCCTTCACATCGCTTCCCAGACACCAGTCAAGGACTTCCTTCCTCCCAACAAATGACAGTTGGTGCACCTCATGAAGGTCCCACCTACAGTCCTATAACATGACTGAACCTAAAGCTGAATAAACTTCCGGTTCATCTCACAGAAATTCAAGGACAAAATAAAAATGCTGCACACTCGGATGCAATGGGAGAACTCTGGGTTTAAGTACTCTACAAGTAATGTGTATGGAAAGTCAGGCAGGTAAAGAACCCCAGATGAAGACTTACAGACAGGCTGCGTACAGCATTCTAAGGTAAGGTGAATCTACAGAGCCCAGAGACGCAGAGCTGAGTCACGGAAGTATTAAGGAAGCAGAACATGACTGAGGGGAAGAGCAGCTGCTGCAGGCCAAGCAGAAGACGGTACTGACAGTGAGCACAGTGGAGGGCTTGGCCAGCAGTATTCCAATTCTTGACGGGTCAAGGCTACAAAGATGTCTATCACACAGTAATTCATTAAGATGTAAAAAAAAGATGTTCCTACTATACACACATACAAAAAACCTGCTGCAATATGGGGTTATACCCGATTAAAAAGAATTTCCAGAGAGAGGTATATGTGGGGATGACCAGAGAAGCAGAGAGAAGAACCTGACTGCGTCTTCTCTGCCTTCTATGCCTTTCTTTACTTTCACTGTAAATAGATGTCCAAAGTCTGACTCCTGCTGGTCTGTGGCATAAAATGCAGGGAGGGGAACAATTGCTAGAAGAGTACACCTGAGCCCCCAGGCTACAGCGTCATTTACACAGCTCATCAGATAAAACATTCATGCTTTGCAACTTGTAATAACTTAGGATGCCATGCTTCTCTCTCACCTCCTTTTTGGGCGTGGTGGCACACACCTTTGATCCCAGCACTCGGGAGGCAGAAGCAGGTGGATCTCTGAGAGTTCAAGGCCGGTCTGGTCTACATAGTGAGTTCCAGGACAGCTGGGGCTACAGGGAGACCCTGTCTCAAAAAGACCGAAAAAATAAATAAAAAAAGGAACATTCACAGAGAATGCCTGGAACTCACAATACCCCCCGCCAGACTAAGCAGATGGAATCATGAGGAATATCCTCTGTGACTTACAGAATAATCACTCAATCGCTACTCATAATGGCAGGGAGAAAAAATTAACTTAGAGCTTAGTATGGTTAGTTGTCATATGTTAAAATGGTATTATAGATGAATGTTCGTGGAAATAAAATACATGTGTACATTTAAAAAGATTATTTCATTTCATTTCAAATATTTACACATGAATACACAGGTCTGGAAGTATTAGCAAAACCCAACAGCATTTTTACCAACCACTTTTTACCAAGCTGTAATCCAGCCAAATTCAGCTGACTCATTAAACTCATTATAACCCAGATTACCCAGAAAACCTCACCTTATTGGCCACAGCATTAACACTTGGCCGGGCATCAAATATAAAGATCTTGTGAGACTGGGCATTGGAGTCCATGATGGCCTGAAGGTATTTCTCGTCGTCTTTGCTGCGCCTTCCACTGACTCCTACCAAGGGCTGGCTGCACCGAGTGACCGTGGCCTGACTTTCAGGGTGAATCCATGATAAGACCTTAGAAAGGGAGAATGGTGAGACATCCCGGCTGCTACTCTGCTTGTGGTTCTCCTCAGAACACTTCTACAGAAAGACTTCCTCAGCAGACCGATCCAGAGCCTGGCCAGGAAAGGACAACTCAAGCTGCCACGAAAAGGCATCACCCTTCTTTCAACCCAAGTCTGATATGTAAGAAGTCATCTAATTCCTAGACACTAATTGTAAACCTCGTTGATGACTTAAAAGTCTTGTCTAAGAAAAGTACATTATAACGGCCCAGTTAACCCTACATAAGTTTTTTATATCAGTAAACTGTCCCACTCAAGTCTTCAGAGTCTATGCATTTTGCACCTAAAATTAAGCTGATCTTTCGCTATATAGTCATTCAACATAAACTTGTTTTCTTCTTTCTTGGACTTAATGGATGTCTGTCACCACTAAACAATGTGTGCAATACAGAAATGGTAACCAGTGCACAGGCCAAACACTCTCAACTGGGAGCCGGGCAAGTCTGTTTCAACTCTTTAGTTTCACAGTCTAACATTCTCACTAGCTAACCCAAGTCTCTAACATTCTCGTATAAATGCTGCAGCTACTTTCTCCTGTGCTCTTATTCATGCAATTCATGACCCGCATCATCAGGTGGAGAGTCCCATCAGAGCACCCCGACACTTACAGGGATTCGGCCCCGGGACCTGAAGGGCGCCACTCTCTTCAGGTCCTCATCGGGGATGTTTGCCGGCACCACCAGGAGGGCAGGGTACGTGTCACAGAGCTCGTAGCGTTCATTGATCCTTGTGACTCTCCAGCTTTCATTTGGAATTCCCTGCACGTGGCAGAAAACGCAAGACAGATAGCTAACTAAAACATTCAGAGGCCCCAGGACAGGAGCCATCTAAGTGTCTCATATCTCCACTACTCTTTTCAGTGATGGGCTTGTAGGAAGACACATTGTAATGTGGGGATCTATGTTTATTTTAGCACCAAAGTTAAAGGTAAGAGTCCTATCAACTCACTAAAATTAACAGTGTGGGAATCTGTGCTGAGCACACCTCAGGAGGGAGGGAGGGGACAGAAAGACTGCAAGGCTCTGGTCTTAAAAGAGAATACAGTCCGCCCCACTTAGTGCAATTAGATAATTGGTTTTGCTGCCATTCATGTAAACAGAGAAACTTTGGAGGGTGGGATGTGACTCCACTAGAATCCGTGCCCAGGTTATCATCTGACTAGATAGAGTACATTTCACTTCTCCATTCCACTGTTAACAAACCACTCTGATAAAACCATGAGAAAAGCCAGGAGTCAGCAGGAAGGTGAAGACAGCAGACAACATACAGAGATACTTTACACCCCAATGCACTCAACTTTAATTACCTTCATTTTATAAATGAAGACACAGTGGCATTGCCTGGAATTTGACCAAAGCGACACTATGCAGTAGTAGAGGATTTCACACCCATTCCAAATCTCACTCTTATACAAAAAGACACTTCTTCAAGGAAAATTTACTCTCCTGGTTCATTAACTGGTTACAAATACATGAAGTAAAAGAGTGGTGTACACTGTTGTCTTTTAAAACAGTGTTTCTGAAGCTTTTGCCAAAGGATATTAAAATGAAAGAATAGCACCAGCTCCCCTCCAGTGACCAGGGAACATACTCTCTGCAGTTCTCCACAGAACTCCCTGCAGTTCTCCACAGAACTCCGTGGTCTGTCTACTCACTAGTATCTTATCCTTGCTTACCTTACCTATCTTACCCTTGCTCTTTCTACTAGCCTGGTCCTAAAGTGCTCCTAGTACCTCCCCCCCTCCCTTCCCCTGTCTTTCTAGACAACTGTAACATCCTTACTTCTTCCCAAAAGGAAAGGAAAAGTTCAATTACAGATTTCTCAAAAATCTACACATAATAAAAAGTACTGTGAACTCTAGTTTAAAGGCAGTACTCAAACACAATCTGTGTATCACCTCTAACTCCTCACTCTCCCTTATCCCTGTACACCTAGTCAATGAACAATTGCTATTGTTTTTCTTCCAAAAGGACTGGAATAGAAGTTTGTTCACCTGTCTCAAGCCTCCGTGACAGTTCCCTAAGCAAAGCCATTCATTGTCTCCTCTCCTCTCCCTCTGCAACCCTTACTGTCTCTAAAGAATTGTGAAGATGCAAACGTGATCATGATTCCTTTCCCTAAAATCCACCTGCCGCTACTCACTCCTCATACAAAGCCCGACAGGCCTGCACAGCCTGAAGCAGTTCTGCTTCCTCTGGATCTGTCTCTGCACACTCAATGAGATAAAACTGCCTTCCCTTCCCAGATGACTTCATGTTCTCTCTCCAAAGGACGTGCTCCATCACAGGAATTCATTACAGGTGACTGTAACTGTTAATCTACTTGTCTGACTCCTCTATTACTCAAGTGAGGTGAGTGGTTACAGAGGGCTTTTAACTGCTGGAAGACACTAGTGCACACACTTGCACAGGAGCTACCACAACCTCACTAAACAGCGGTTCTGCAAGGATGCCCACCCAGCAACCTTCTAACCACCACCAGGCTAGAGCCACATCACTGCGGCCACTAATATACAAGGTAACCCCCTGAAGGCTTGTCCACAAGAACTTCCCCTCACCTCAAGTTCCTCAAATACCACAGAGTACAGTGACTATTCCCACAGTGTCCTACCATTCCCAACCACGTGTTAGGATTCCTTGGAAAACTGGGTTTTGTTGGGGTTTCATTTTTTCTATTGATCATGATGGTGTACTGATTTCCTACTTGACGAGTGTCTGTTCTTAACCTTTCCTATTCCCTACCTTCACTTTCTAACATAGCATGAACTGTAGCCTATTAGAATTATTAGCCTGTTTTGTCCTACTGCATAAAGTGTAAACTCCAGCATATAATCTCACCTCAGTCTAGTATAATTAACTTTCCTGACTGTGAAGAAAATACAAGAACCTTTAACTACAACTCCCTGTCCTCCTTCTGAATTATTTCACTGATTTACATACTACTCTCCAGAAAGTACCATTACTGTTGTACACAGTGGATGCCTACCACCTAGTGATTCTCTCTGTTTCACTTTTGTTTATGATCCTGGTTCTTTATCTGGGGCCATTTTGTTCTGCCTGGCATTCAGCCTTTAGACAGATTCTGGCTGCAAGGTGTGCTAACACAGGCCTTTCATCCCCACAGGGGCAGGAGGGTTTCTTTGAGTTCAAGGATAGCCTGGTCTATACAGTGAGTTCCAGGCCAGTCAAGGCTACACAGTGAGACCCTGCCTTAAATTTCCTTTCCCCTTCGGTAGATAGTACTTTATGATAAAAAATATTTCTATTTCACTTCCATCTCTTTATTTCTAAAAGGAATTACTGGTAGAGAAGTTCCAACCAGCATATTTTACTTTACACACTAAAGGTAAACCCCTACTCTGGCTCCTCTGGCTCCACTGTTGTTTTGAAAATCTGTTGGTCTAGCTTCGGCTTTTTAAAAAAGATACTTTTTTTTTGTTTATTATTATTTTTCGGGGGGGGGGGAGATGGGGTAAAGGACAGGCATATAAGCCATGGCTCATGGCTCATGTGTGGAGGCCAGAGGCCAACTTTGTATGTGGAGTTCAATCTCTCCTTCTACCATTATATGCAATTCCCGGGATTTGAACTCAGGTCATCAGGCTTGCAAGGCATAGTTACTCTATGATGTCAGTGTGTGAACTTTAATCTCCGAGGTACTGCAGCTTAGTCATTCTATGGACTGGTGTTTTTCATGAGTCTGGAATAATCAAGACTCCCTATTCAAACACTGTCTTTGCTACCCTTTCCCTCTCTTAAGTCTACTCGAATTGAGGCTTCAAGTTGTCAAGACCTGATTTAATAACCATTCCTCTTCACTGAACATACAGCACTTTGGGCAGGATGTTCAAACTGTTCAACATCAGCCTGGGCTACCAAGTGAGACCCTGTCCTCAGTCACCCAAAAAGAGGTTTTGATACTGGTTAAGTGTAATGGCGAAGAGTTGTTTCTAGAGCCAGACTTCCTGAATTCCTAGCTTCTACACTTAGGAGCTATGTTACTGTGCGTCGGTTTACTCATATGCTAAGCAGACAATATGAGTACCTACCTCACAGAATTGTGAAGATCATTTGAGTATTCAGGAAATGCTTAAGAAAAAGCTTAGCATATATGTACAGACAGACAGACAGACAGACACACACACACACACACGTTTAAGTATCATTTGGTTTAGTAAATAAGCCTAGTATTCAAAGATTTGCTAGCTGGCAAGTATTCAGCACATACACTGTAAGCAGAATACACCCTGAATGTGCTTACACACCCACTCATTTAGCAGACACTGTCTGTGACAGACCAGGCATTACCCTGTTCTGACAACAGAGTACTGAGAACTCAAGTGCAGTGCCTTCCCTCCTGGAGCATGGACACTAATAAGATCTAAGGCATCACAGAAAGGACTCCTTCAAAAGCTGCTCCCACCAGTGGCAAATGACAGAGCAAGAAGTCTCAGGAGAGAAAAGCACAAATGGGCACAGGGTGTGTCAATAAATTTTCATTGAATCAGAATGAATCAAAATAGGGTGGGAAATACTTGAGAAGCCATCAACAGGACTTAAGCTTTGACTTGCATATAAAAGGCATATAGGTTAGTAGTAGAGTGCCTGCCCAGCATGTGTGAGGCCCTGAATTCAATCCCAAGCAGAGCAAACAAGCACACACATAAAGATGTGATGAGGTCCTGTCGAAAGGTATCAGTACTGACCACAGTGATCAGCTGCCCTCAGCGTAAGGAAAGGGTTTACACTGTGTCCTCTCTGAAGAGTAAAACAACATTAACAGAGCTAAATTACAAACAGTAGAGGTATTAAGACATTTTAGAATTAAATTATAGGATGCCTAAAAAGGAAAGTCCTAGTGAATAACTGCTTATTCTGGAAAAGAAAATGTGACGTGATGTAACAAGATAGACTTCAAGTAAAAAACAGTAGGAG